GTGATATGATTTAATTATGTGTATATATGTTATACATATATTTTGTAAATGGGTCTAGGCCTGTAGAATATTAATTAAATAAATAAATAAATAAATAAATAAATAAACACCTCATTAGCTTCTTTCTCATAAAATGAAACCATACAACATGGACATGTATCTGGACCTTCATCAGAATTTGACCAGGGGCACGTCTCAAAATGTTTACCATACTGGTTATTTACAATCTTAGCATTAAGATGCTGCTCCAAAAATTCTTTTTGACTAACCCATTTTTTAATTTTTTCCTTTTTCAAAAATTCTCGATATATTTCTTGTTTTTTCTTCACCTTCTTTACCACATTTTTTTAAAAATTTATCAATATTTTGGATTGCCATTTCAATTTCCTTTGCACTAATCATTATTACTGTACGATAATATTAAGACTGAATAATACTTTTTAGGTCACACGTTTTGGCGGGAAAATAATAAATATCTGACGTCAGCAATTCAAAATGGCGTCAAAAATGAAATTTATATTATTAATTCAAATATATCTTTATCTCTAAAAGTTTGACGTCACAATTCAAAATGGCGTTAAAAATTAAATTTACATTATTAATAATAAATCCTTATCTCCAAATAGCGGATGCCAGGTGACTAAACCACTGTTAAGTCACGCCCACCCCCTTATCACCAGCTGCCTTTCCCTTATCTCCAGTTCGACATTTTTGTATCGTTTATCTATAGGTGGCGCCACCTTCGGAAAACAGCGCTACCAACCCAACGCGTTACGTCACCTGTCTGGGTCACTTCCGCTGCCGTACCCGCTTTGTATCTCTACTTTTGATTTTTTTCCTTGAGAACTAGGGCAACAACAAAAATAGTATTCTTAATAAAAAAAATTCCTCAAATAAAAAATAATTCTGAATAAAAATAACTATAAATAAAAATAAAACTCTAAATAAAAATAAAACTCTAAATAAAAATAAAACTCTAAAAATAAATAATAAAAATAAATAAACATTCCCGCAAATAATCTTTGAATTTCTCGTTCAGAATTACCAGCAAAATGCCAGATTAAAATCTGAACTTTTTGTTCCAACGTGTACATTTTTTAATTAAATAATCTTTTTTACTAAAATTACTACCTCCTGCTGGCACCACTGCAGTTCTCGTTCTGATATCCTCGTGTCAAGCACGCTGCGAGGTGCGCGGTGGGTATGCGTTGTCGTAGCCTGCCGGCTCTGGCCAATCAAATTCTATTTGGCGTTCTATCCTTGTTCTTTTCACGCGGGTATTGAACAGCCGTCCTTTCCAGCGCGGTCGGACTTGCAGTGTTCGCAGGGCCGGATTAAGAGTTTTGAGGCCCTGGGGCCGACATTTGGTGGGGGCCCTCAATATTTCTAAAATTATAGACACTTAAAATTAAAATAAAATTAAAACTCATGGTAAATTTATAAGCTGGAGGAACTTTACGTGATTTTTTATTATCATTGAATCATTTATTATTTAATAAACCATATATATATATATTTTTAAGCTATAAATAAAAAACTTATTTTTTTTAAACGAAACACCATGTATCTTGATAATGAAGCATTTTCGGACACGTGTTTATAGGAACTTTTTTTCATATTTCGATTAGAGGAATTTCTCCTGAGCTTTTGTCACAAGTCTGAATCACCCTGTATATTTTGAATAATACTAACATAACCTTATATACATTTTACCCAAGTCTGGGAAAATAAATTCGTATGCAAAACTATAAAAACGTAGATAGTAGAATAGAATTGTGAATGAAAGTGTTTTTATATACTTTATATTTTATATATTTTGAATAATACGAACATACTCAATTACTCAAGGAAAATATAAATTAATCTATGTTTTGTTTGTATATTTATTACTTAAAGCAAACTGAAAAAAGTGCATCAAAAGTCGTATTATTTGTCTGTTTTTCATACAAAATCAAACAATAAAACAATCTTTTGTCCAAAGAAAAGCACGAAACACCGGAAAATATTCCACAACACTCCAATGTACCAATAAAAATCTGGGACAAAAACTAACTTTAATATTAAATTATAAGTAATTGACTGTTTGCCTGTATTTACAAAAAGGAGCAAAAGACTTTATAAAAACGTCTTTGCGCACCAAAACTTTGAGTGTGATAATTTACGTTCTGATTTGCAAGCGGGTAAGCGATAAAAAATCCGCGAAAAATAAGAGTTAGATCTACAAAAAATTAATTGAAAATTACTGGATTCGCGGGGTATAACCGACCCAATTTTTTGTTTTTTTGCCAATTTTTTTCATATTCGGTTCATTAAAAAGCTAGTATTGCATTTGTGGGGGCCCCTAAATGGTGGGTGCCCTGGGGCCGTGGCCCCGCTGGCCCAATGCTAAATCCGGCCCTGGCAAGCACTGTATACCTGTATGCCTTGCGATGTGAATGAGCAGTGGAAAAACTTCATGGATATATTTATGCCCATGATTAATGAGCACTTTCCATTAAAACTATCTAAAACAAAAATAACATACACACACAATGATGAAGAAATAAACAATTGTAAATCCAGGTTAGATACACTATATACGATGAAAAACTGTAACAAGGACTATGAAGCTGTGTATAATATAGCCAGAACAGAGTAAAATAACTTAATTTCAAGAAAGAGAAAAAATATTTACTCACAAAGAATAAATAATTCAGAAAACAAAAGTAAAACTATGTGGAGTGTCATAAAAGAAATCAAAGGCTGTAAGATTTCCAATAAGACTGACTTAATTGGGGAGCCAGTGCAAGTAGCAAATGATGTAAGAATATCTTACCAGCATTGCGAAAAAATAACTAGAAATTCTGCAACCTGTAACACATACCTGTGATATAAACGTTAATGTAGGATCTTTGTTTTTAAAACCTGTGACTAGTTTGGAAATAACACATATTATACATAATCTTAAGTACAAAATGAGTTCTGGTCTTGACAATGTACCGGTTAGTGTGATAAAATTCTGTGTATTGGAACTATGTAATATTTTAGCTTATATAATACAAAACTCACTTAATCAGGGCATTTTTCCTGATGATTTAAAGTGTGCCCTGGTCAAACCTTTACACAAAAAAGGCGATACAACATTAATTGAAAATTACAGACCGATTAGTATTCTCTCATCCTTTTCCAAAATCTTCGAAACAGTAATGTCAAACCGAATCACTGACTTTTTTCAACACTTTGATCTCTTCAATAAGAACCAACATGGTTACATAAAAGGGCGTAGCTGTTTTCAGTTTTACCTCGGAGATTCTTAAAATGTTAGACAACAGGAAACTTTCTTTGGGTATTTTCTTAGATCTTACTAAAGCATATGACACCCTGAACCATGAAATCCTGCTTGTAAAGCTGGAAAGATACGGTATTAGAGGTAGTGCACTAAATTGGGTTAAATCATAATATGATTTAACCCAATTTAGTGCACTATTATCTTAAAAATAGAGGACAAAGAGTTGAAATAGTAAGTGATTCTGGTGCTTTCATATCTGAGAACAGAGCAGTAAAGGTTGGGATACCACAGGGGAGTATCATAGGTCCATTACTTTTCATAATCTTTATGAATGATCATACATTCAGTTGATTGTAACATTGTAAATTACGCTGATGATACAAACCTAATAAATGCCAAAGACTATAGTGATATTATAATTAAGAGCAACTTATGTATGTCAAATATTGAAACATGGTTCTGTAAAAACCAGCTCATTTTGAATCAAGGAAATAGTAACCTCATACTGTTCAAAACAGCCTTATCAAACTTTCAAACTCCTCCCAGTATAAAATGTAATAACAACTTTTTGAAATTTTCAGACAATGTAAAATTCCTAGGACTTTTCTTAGATGAAAACATGAGTTGGAAAATTCACATTAAGCAGGTAGCCCGTAAACTTAATTCTAATCTTTACTCTATCAAAGTTCTCAAAACTTATGTGACAACTGATGTTTTAAAAACTATCTATTTAGCAAACTTCCAATCTATACTGAGATATGGCATTATATTTTGGGGACAAGGTAGTAATATTCAGGAAATTCTTATTATTCTAAAACGTGCGGTAAGGACCATCTTTGGTCTTAAGGTCAGCCAATCATGTAAAGGTATCTTTAAAACTCATAAAATACTAACTATATTTGGGATTTATATATACGAAATCATAATTTTTATGTTTAAAAACAAACAATATTTTAACGAGGTGCATAGTAGAAATAAAAGGCACAACTTTTACCTATTTTCAATACATACAAGTTTATTTGAAAAAGGCTGTTATTACTCTTGTATAAACTTGTTGAATTGCTTACCGAATTCATTAAAACAAATTAATGATTTAAACACATTAAAAAAGAACTTTTTGATTTTATGTGCAATAGTGAGCCGTATTCACCACGTAAATTTTGTGATTTCTGTAGATTGTTAAATCTTAATTAATCCAAATTTTTCTGTTTTTTAGACATTTATATATGCACTGTACATTACATTATTCCTGTGTACAATCCATTCTATATACAATAAATTAATTAATTTATTATTTTTTTACTTGTTAAAAATATTGAGCTTCTACATTGCCATAGAAAACAGCAAATAACTTTTTAATGAAGTCAAAATTTGCAGTACCTAAAAGCATTCACATGTATAAACTCTAAAAGTTTAATTTATTTTATAATAATAATGTTTATATGAGTATTTGTTTGTTAGATACGCTAATAAATACCCAGCAAACAGACAGCCGTCGAGTGACGTCTTTTGAACGTTGATTATTGGTCAATGACTCGTCACTCGACGTGTTGCTGGGTAGTTTATTTCACCGTATACAGAGTACAAAATTACTTGTTTTGTTTAAAAATAAAATAAAATATGGTCATAATACAAAATAATTTTTGTGAAATGTAATGTAATATAATTATTTTTTAATTTTATTTTACATCCACACGAATTTAATATTACATAGACATATTTTTTGTTGTAGTTGTGAAGCAAAAATACGACATACAAGTGCTCGACGAATATGTCACTGCTGGAAACACGGCTGTTCTGAAATGCAAGATTCCAAATTACGTGACCGACTACGTGATGGTGACGTCCTGGATTCAGGACGAAAGCATTAACATTTATCCCAATACCGACATCGGAGGCAAATACGTCGTGCTCAGCAACGGTGATTTATACATCAGCAATGCCGGACCAGGAGATGGTTATAAAAACTATGCGTGCAGGACGGTTCATCGACTGACAGGTCTGAAAATTTAATTTATGAGCTTTCTATGGCTATTAGCTTTGTAATATTAACATCTCATATTTTTATTGTTTAGAAATTTTAATACAATCTCTATTGTTTAGAAATTTTTATACAAACCCCTAGATGCCATCGAGGTAAAAAATATCAGGTACAAATATTTATTATAAATTCAAAGGAATTTTTTTTTAATAAATATGTTAATAAAAATTAATATATTAAAAGCGTTCTTATGCCGAATTCGGCAAAAACCGTTATGATGTGAAAAGATACCTCGTGCTTATTTTTTATTTTTTGATCATTTGGGGCTTTATATCCCCAACAACGCTTAGGTATCGTATTAGCTTTTATGTCCTGAATAGTTTGCACCCGGTCAACATTTAACGTAACACAGTATTGCCGTTATGTAACATAGGAGTAACATTGCAATGTAACGATGTTACTAAAATGCAACGCAACAGTTACCTAAAACAATGGTAACATTGTTACCGTCCCAAGTTAACCAATATGCAATATAACAATAACGTAACATTGCGATACTATTGTAATGTAACAAAATTACCAATAAGCAATGTAACAACAATGTAACATTGTGAAACTATTGTAATGTAACAAAATTACCAATAAGCAATATAACAGCAACGTAACATTGTGAAACTATTGTAATATAACAAACTTACCAATAGGCAATATAACAATAACGTAACATTGTGAAACTATTGTAATGTAACAAAAGCAATATAACAGTAACGTAACATTGTGAAACTATTGTAATATAACAAAATTACCAACAAGCAATATAACAGCAACGTAACATTGTAAAACTATTGTAATATAATAAAATTACCAATATATATGCAATATAACAGCAACGTAACATTGTAAAACTATTGTAATATAACAAAATTACCAATATGCAATATAACAGTAACGTACTATTGTAATAATTTTGTTACGTAACAGTTACATTTATGTTACGCAACAAACTTATACTTATACACATCATTTACATCTCGCTCGTGGTACCACCTCGATTATATCTTCGTTTATATACCTATAGGTATATAAACGAAGTTAAGACAGCGCACTATGTCCATTTGTCATTTGAGGTCCAATATGCCTGATTATGGGAAAGTCAGAATACGATCCCAAATAGCACACGACCTCCCAAGGACATCCTGATTGGGTCTGTCCGGGCCAGTTTAGGATATCACATTTCTGACGTACCTTGGACGTCCATGGGACGTCCTGAAATTAAATTGGGTATAGTATATTGGGTATCCCATTTCTGACGTACCTTGGACGTCCATAGGACGTAATAGAAATAAAATTGCAATAGTATACCATATATATATATATATATATATATATTGGATATCTTCATGCCTTCTTTCCAAAAGGCAAAAAATGTATAGCATTTGCATCATCTGTCACCTGTCTAATGATGCAAAGTGACAGATATCTGTCACCTGTCATATGATGCAAGGCGACAAATATCTGTCACCTTTCATAATCTGCCACCTGTCATTTTCTTATCTGTCATTTGCCACCTTCATTTGTCACTTGTAATATTATACAAGGCGGCAGATATCTGTCACTTTCCATCACCTGTCATTTGTCACCTATCATACCTGTCATTTGTCACCTATCATACCTGTCATTTGTCACCTATCATACCTGTCATTTGTCACCTATCATACCTGTCATTTATCGTTCTGCATAATTCTGCTTTCTGCGCATAATATCATATTTGAATTTGAATACGGCTGGCTTCGACTGTGCTGCCACCGTTTTGTACCGATCGTTACTCGAAGTGCTCCAAAAGTTGCCGAATTTGCCAACTGTTGGTGTCATAGTAAGGAACGTTTAAATATTTGAATTTAGCGCGTAAGATTAATATCCGTTAGGGGAGTGTCATATCCGTCAGCGGAAGAAGGGGAGAGAAGAAGAAGAAAGTATCATGGCCGCAACACAAGGTTTTCGGCTTCGTTATTTATTTTTGGTTCAACGTAATTTCTAAGTCTGATCAAATGTAAAGCTAAGAAAATGTTTTCTTTACAATCTACCAAAAGCAAGATCCAATAATATTGGGTGGCTGAAACAAATATGGATGCCAAGCCGCTAAAGGTAAAATCTATTTTCTTTTAAATGTGCTAGTGGCACTATTCCGAACACCCTGTATAGTTATCATGACAACATGCGGATTTCCAAAGAAAAGTCTCAAAAAGCCCTCACAGTACCTTAATAAGCTGGTTTGAGTATATCCCGATATAGTCCTAATCAGGACGTCCTACGGACATCTGAAAGTGTATCATTTGGCCGTCTGTAGACCTCCTAGGGACGTCAAACGGACATTGCGGGACGTCCTGAGTACTTCCGCAATGTCCCAAGCTGACGTCCCGAGGACAGCCTAAGGACGTATTTGTGCTTACTGGGATATTATGTATCATTTGATACGCTTTAGCGTTTAACTGACGGGACTTTCTCATGTCGAGCATAATAACGTTGCAACGTAACAATGTTACATAACCTTAAAGCGCACCATGTCCATTTGTCATTTGAGGTCCAATATGCCTGATTATGGGAAAGTCAGAATACGATATTATGTATCATTTGATACGCTTTAGCGTTTAACTGACGGGACTTTCTCATGTCGAGCATAATAACGTTGCAACGTAACAATGTTACATAACCTTAAAGGCCATGTTAAAAAGCAAGATGATATGACTATAAAATTCGTACAATATTTGTATCGGTTTGCGTCGGTTTTATTTATTATAAATGTTTTAAATAAGAATTTGGAAACAATAAATGTTTTATTTTTGTTTATTTTTTATTTTAATTCAGTTTTAATTGTAATTATGAATTAGGTACCAATTAATTATTATTTTTAATATTTATTTGCATCCAACAGACCAGAGTTCAAATAATATAATTACATAATTTGAATATGTATAATATACGTATTCACATTATTTAATCATTATAATATAATGATTAAATAATATTAATACGTTTATGACATTAAATTATATAAGTTGGCTTCTGTTTTTAAAATCGTTAGATACTGTCAAATAGTTTATAAAACAAGATGTACCGTTGTATTTTTCACAAATTACCAAAACAAATGGACGGCGCATTGCCATTCAATAACAATGCTTTGTTTGCGGTCAACGAACGGTAACAGTAAGCGTTAAATTGGCTATAGAATTTTATGTTTTCTTCCAGTGACGTATTGCGTACTCCAAAACAGCTGACATATAACAAATATGACAGCTGACTGCAACCAGTGCCGTGGTGTTAAATAGGGATAATTTAAAAATTTAATTGTGATTACTTACCTATGAAATGATAGATTTGGATATCTTTAGTTTATTTTTTTAAAAACAGTACACTGTCGCACCATTTTTAGTAAAAAATAATGAATTTAAACTCAATAATTAACTTAAACGCGATAGAAATACACAACCGAAAACACAAAACAACAAGCTGTCAACCTTTTTCTATGCTGTCAACCACAATCCACTGAACGCAAATATGACGAATTTACCAAGGTTGTTAATATTTAATTTTAATAATTATTAAATGATTTACTTTCTTTAAATAGAGAAAAATATCTAAAGAAAATGATGAACAAATCCTTTTTACAATTTTTTTATTATTCAAACAAATTACTGGTAATTTTTAATGTTCATTATGTGATGATAAACGTCCAAAAAGGCGTGTAATCTGTACTTCTGACAACGTTGGAAGCCGTGTTTCTTTTGACGGTGTTTAGAATGTGAAACTATGCTTTACTCGCTTTTTAAACGTAAACAAATCCGTCCATTTGTTTTGGTGGTCTGTGGTATTTTCACATCCAGAATATATTCAGAAATCTGACTTATTTATTACCCAAAACACCAAATAACTTTATCAGGTCATGGGCCCCAGTGGCGGCTGGTGGATTTTAAGTATACCAATATCTCAGTTATTAGACATGGGACCCACACCAAATTTATAATAGTTTATATTGACATTAAATAAAGAAGTTCGGCGCAAACAGAATTTAAATTGAAGTTTGCGAAAAACAGTTAGTTTTTCCTGTCGCCTACCCTGCCTCCAGGCCCCCCTATTTGAGATAATTCAAATTAAAGTGGTGCAATTTATTATCTACTATAATTTATTAAAATAAAAAAATATTTAAAATGGTATAAAAACTGTAATATTTGGATTTTTTGAATAAAATTTTAAATTTGTCGATAAATTATAGTAGATAATAAATTGCACCACTTTAATTTGAATTATCTCAAATAGGGGGGCCTGGAGGCAGGGTAGGCGACAGGAAAAACTAACTTTTTTTCGCAAACTTCAATTTAAATTCTGTTTGCGCCGAACTTGTTTATTTAATGTCAATATAAACTATTACCCACATAACAAGAAAATATACATAGGATATACATAGGATATACATCTATGCATATTCGTATATTCGCGAATATCGTAGGGATATACCATGGATATCCATAAAATATGATTTTGTCCTCTATTTGGATATCCATAGTATATCCATGACGTATATCTTATGTATATTCCTGGATGTCCATAATATATCCATGACATATATCAAGTACATTAAAAAACTCGTAATATGGACATCCATAGTATATCCATGATGTATATTCCTGAATGTCCATATTATATCCATGGTATATATTATGTATATTAAAAAACCCGAAAATGGATATCCATAACATATTGTTAGGGTATGTAAGAAAAATCTTGAAAAACAAATTCCTAAAAATAAAAAAAATATAAATGCACTTCTCATTGAAAAAGAAATAAAAATAAATTCTTACCCATAGGGTAACTCCATTTATTAGCCACCAATGAGTGAACCTCATATACTCTAATTTTATTTATTTTTTAACTGCAAATAGACAAGGACGCAAGAAGTGAAAAAAGCTCCCGTTTTCTTTTCCCCCCTAACTCCTATTTATACAGGGCTACTCAAAAGTTAC